AAGGTGTAGCTGGCGCACATATTTTGTTTTCTGGGTTATGTTTTTTGGCAGCTATCTGGCATTGGGTGTATTGGGATCTAGAAGTCTTTTGTGATGAACGGACTAGAAAACCCTCTTTGGATTTACCTAAGATCTTTGGAATTCATTTATTTCTTGCGGGGGTTACTTGCTTTGGCTTTGGTGCATTCCATGTAACGGGTTTGTATGGTCCCGGAATTTGGGTATCCGATCCTTATGGCCTAACAGGAAAAGTAGAACCTGTTAATCCTGCCTGGGGTGTGGAAGGCTTTGATCCTTTTGTTCCAGGAGGAATAGCCTCTCATCATATTGCAGCTGGAACACTGGGCATTTTAGCGGGGTTATTCCATCTTAGTGTCCGTCCGCCTCAACGGCTATACAAGGGATTACGTATGGGAAATATAGAAACCGTCCTTTCAAGTAGTATTGCTGCTGTCTTTTTTGCAGCTTTTGTAGCTGCTGGAACTATGTGGTATGGTTCGGCGACTACCCCAATTGAATTATTTGGCCCCACCCGTTATCAATGGGACCAAGGTTATTTCCAACAAGAGATATATCGAAGAGTTAGTACGGGACTAGCAGAAAATCAAAGTTTATCAGAAGCCTGGTCGAAAATTCCGGAAAAATTAGCTTTTTATGATTATATCGGTAATAATCCAGCAAAGGGAGGATTATTCAGAGCAGGTTCGATGGATAACGGGGATGGAATAGCAGTTGGATGGTTAGGCCACCCTGTCTTTAGAGATAAAGAAGGGCGTGAACTTTTTGTACGCCGTATGCCTACTTTTTTTGAAACATTTCCAGTTATTCTAGTAGACAGTGATGGAATTGTTAGAGCCGATGTTCCGTTTAGAAGGGCAGAATCGAAGTATAGTGTTGAACAAGTAGGAGTCACTGTTGCGTTCTACGGTGGTGAACTCAATGAAGTAAGTTTTAATGATCCGGCTACTGTGAAAAAATATGCTAGACGCGCTCAATTCGGTGAAATTTTTGAATTAGATCGTGCTACTTTGAAATCTGATGGGGTTTTTCGGAGTAGTCCAAGAGGTTGGTTTACTTTTGGGCACGCTTCATTTGCATTGCTCTTCTTTTTCGGACACATTTGGCATGGTGCTAGAACCCTTTTCAGAGATGTTTTTGCTGGGATTGACCCAGATTTAGATGTGCAAGTAGAGTTTGGAGTATTCCAAAAACTGGGAGATCCAACGACAAGACGACAAGCTGTCTGATATATCATTTATCCTATTATTTTGATATCTGTCTTTCGTTCTTTCTTTATCCGAAGCGAAGTAAGATATAGGGTAAGATATAGGATAAAAAAAACAAAAATAGGTAGGAAAGCTATAATTGGAAACTACGATGTAATTTATGGAAGCATTGGTTTATACATTCCTCTTAGTCTCGACTCTAGGAATAATATTTTTCGCTATCTTTTTTCGAGAACCCCCTAAAGTACCAATGAAAAAGATCAAATAATTTTTCGCTATAGTAACTTGAAGTAATAAGCCCTCCACCGTGGGGAGGCTTATTACTTCAACTAATCTCCATGTTCTTCAAATGGATCTCTTAGCTGTTGAGAAGGTTGTCCAAAAGCGGTATAGAAGGCATACCCAGTAAAACTAAAAAGTAAACCGGATATAAATATCGTCACTAGGATTGCTGTTTCCATTTTTTTATTAGTATATAATTAAAATACTCCAAAGGATCTATGCTAAGATCATTTCTTTATAACGCAATGGTATACAAAGTTAACAGATCTCTCAATAAATAAAATTGAATAAAAGAGGATTTATGGCTACAAAAACTAGTGAGAAAGGTTCTCAATATCGTCCAAGACAAACTACTATCGGTAATTTATTAAAACCATTGAATTCAGAATACGGTAAAGTAGCTCCGGGGTGGGGAACAACACCTTTAATGGGTTTGGCAATGGGTTTATTCGCGATATTTCTATCTATTATTTTAGAGATTTATAATTCTTCCGTTTTATTGGATGGAATTTCAATGAATTGAAACCTAGTCCCACTTTTTTTATTCAAAGCGGCGCCCTTTTAACTAAGATTTAGAATGCATTCTATTTTATGTAATTGTGGTAGTTCGATCGTGTTATTTATTTATTTCTATCATTTCCGGAATATGAGTTGTGACTTGTTATAAAGGATCCTATTCATAGTCCATAAAATTTGGTTATCTTACTTACCAGAGATTATTTGATTCGTCAGATATGGATTCGAGTATCTGAAACACGAGATCTATTTGAACTATGATTCAGACTTCCTATTAAGACCTCGTGCCCGGGTTCCAAAAAAATTTTGAAACCAAGAAGGTTTGATTATTTAAAACCTTCTGGATGACCAAAATAAAAATTCCATCTATTTAGTATGGTTAAAGTTAATTTAAAAAGGTTCTTACTCAGGGAATCCTTGATTACGTTTCAATTTTTTTAATCGTGGTTCTAAATAGGAATCTTAGGTTTTTTTCGATTTATAGGGTCTTAACAAGGTAATTCCTATCCAATCAAATAAACAAAACAAATAAAAAAAGAATCATTCCATAAAAAAAAAGATAGGTAAAGAGAAGCTTCAAAAAGCCCGTCAAAATAAAAATAAAGACAACTGAGCTAACTTGATATGTTTGTATTAGTGCCAAAAAAATCAATAAGAAATAATAGATTTCGCATTTTATTGAATATAATCTATGTGTTGGTCTGGCCGGCGCAATGAGTATTTGGACATTTTTGGTTGAGCTGTACGAGATGAAAGTCTCATATACGGTTCTCAGGGGGGGGAAATTACCCTATCTCAATAAAGTCTATGATTGGTTCGAAGAACGTCTGGAGATTCAGGCGATTGCAGATGATATAACTAGTAAATATGTTCCTCCACATGTCAATATTTTTTATTGTTTAGGGGGAATTACGCTTACGTGTTTTTTAGTACAAGTAGCTACCGGGTTTGCTATGACTTTTTACTATCGTCCGACCCTTACAGAGGCGTTTGCTTCTGTTCAATACATAATGACTGAAGCGAACTTTGGTTGGTTAATCCGATCGGTTCATCGATGGTCAGCAAGTATGATGGTATTGATGATGATTCTGCATGTATTTCGTGTGTATCTGACAGGTGGGTTTAAAAAACCTCGTGAATTGACTTGGGTTACAGGTGTAATTTTAGCTGTATTGACAACATCTTTTGGCGTAACCGGTTATTCGTTACCTCGGGACCAAATAGGTTATTGGGCAGTGAAAATTGTAACAGGTGTACCCGAAGCTATTCCTGTAATAGGATCACCTTTGGTAGAATTTTTACGAGGAAGCGCTAGTGTGGGGCAATCCACCTTGACTCGTTTTTATAGTTTACACACTTTTGTCTTGCCTCTTATTACTGCCGTATTTATGTTAATGCACTTTTCAATGATACGTAAACAGGGTATTTCTGGTCCTTTATAAATCAAAATAGAAATAAAAAGAGATCCTAAATAAAAAAAATTTGTAAGATATGTTATTTCTCACTTGGAGGAGGGGTAATAGTATTTCATTGCTAAAAAAAATCCATTCTTTAAAAGAATAAGAAATGGTTTTTTATATTTATCTTCACCCTTCCTATATTCTTTTTTTTTTACATGAATACACAAATAGGCGAGGGGAATTCTTTGAAGTTGAAGATCAATTTTACGATAAAATGGATTATGGGAGTGTGCGACCTGAACTATTGATTGGTCCATGTAGATATAAGCCTACCACATTTGAATTATCACCACCCAAATGTGTCTTTGTTCCAATTGGCGCATAAGCCTTATGTGAGGGATAAGCTGGTTCCCTTGAAGATAATTTATTCTATGATCATATAAAAATCATGTTATACATGATTAGGCTCCGTAAAATCCAATATTGAATATAAAAAGATCCTAGAAACTTTTTATTTTTATTTAACATTTTAAACGCTAATATAGAATCTGTAAATGGAGTCATTTCCTCTCCATTGGTCCGATCTCGATAATACTATCGGAGTGAAACAAGAGATCTAACGAAGAAAAGAAACTGGACTTTTTTTTAGTAACAAGTAAACCTTTCTGCGTATCTTAAAATATGAAAACTTTTTGAAAATAGTTTCAGATAAATACGCATTCTAAGGTTGGAGACGACCCAAAAAGCACTTGATCCTATCAGAAAATTAAGCCTACTTGGGTCTTGAGTATTGACGCGTAAGCAAATAAGAAAAGAAATTTAATTTTTTGACTAGAGAAGGTTCACTTGATAAAAACAAATTTTTTCTTTTACATTGAACTATTTCTATATCATAGATTATCTTTTGTGTATAAATGAATATAAAGACTCTTAACGACTCTAAGATAACCTATAAACTACCTAGCTTTAGAAATGTATTTGTTCATTCATATAATGATTAATTCTTTTTTAATTATTTGTTTGAGTCTTGCTCGAGCTGGATGATTAAAAATGATCATGTCCGGTTCCCTCGGGGGATGGATCTCTAAGACTTCACCTATCCCAATAATAAAAAAACCTGACTTGAATGATCCTGTATTAAGAGCTAAATTGGCAAAAGGTATGGGTCATAATTATTACGGGGAACCCGCATGGCCCAATGATCTTTTATATATTTTTCCAGTAGTTATTCTTGGTACTATTGCATGTAATGTAGGTTTAGCAGTTCTAGAACCCTCAATGATTGGTGAACCCGCAAATCCCTTTGCAACCCCGTTAGAAATATTACCTGAATGGTATTTCTTTCCTGTATTTCAAATACTTCGTACAGTGCCTAATAAAATATTAGGTGTTCTTTTAATGCTTTCAGTACCTACGGGATTATTAACAGTACCTTTTTTAGAGAATGTTAATAAATTCCAAAACCCATTTCGTCGTCCAGTAGCAACCACTGTGTTTTTTATTGGTACCGGAGTTACCTTTTGGTTGGGCATTGGTGCAACATTACCTATTGAAAAATCCCTCACTTTAGGTCTTTTTTAAATTTGTTTTGTGGAGTTTTGATTCAATTTAAAAAAAACCAAAGCTTGTGTATCTAGGGAAGCGTTTCTTGAAAGTTCTTCCTAGATACACGTCAATTCATATTCATGAATGTTTCAATTTATTTTTTTTATTAATTAAACCTAAGTTTATAATCAATACAGTGCAAAATATTTTCCTAGAATCCCCAATATATGTTTTATATCTTCTAGTTGAAAATGTTCTATTTTTAAAAGATCTTCTTGTTTTTGATTAAAAAGATCAAATAATGTAAATATATTTGACTTTTTCAAGCAATTATATATCTTGGGAGGGAATTCTAATTGGTCAATAAAAATTAATTTCAATGAAAGTTTCTTTTTTTTTTTTATAAGTGTAGTCACTTTATTATAAAAGATAAGGGGGGGTAGGGGAATTGTGTGTTTTGCATCTGCTAAATATAAGTTTTCTTCTTCCATCTGGAAAAAATGGAATAAAGAAATCAATCAATATTCGGGCGGATTCATGAAGTGCTTCTTTTGGTGTTAAACTTCCATTTGTCCATATTTCCAAAAAAAGTATCTCTTGTTTTTCATTCCCATAAGAATGAATACTATGATTTGCATTTTGAACCGGCATGAAGAGAGCATCTATAGGATAACTTCCATCGTCAAAGTGAAGGTCCACTTTGTTGAAATATCCGCGATTTCTCTCTATTTTTAATCCAATAAAAAAATCAATAGGTTCCGTCAACCAAGCTATATGTTGTGTGTTATCAACAATTTGTACATGGGGGGGTAATATTATATCTTGGGCAGTTACATGTCGAGGTCCCTTGATACAAATAGACGCATCACAACTTTCATATAGATTGCTCCTCAATACAATTTCTTTCAAATTCATTAAAATCTCATGTACCGATTCTTGAATCCCCCCTATGGTAGAATACTCATGCGAGGCTTTCTCAGATTTTACACGTGTGATACATGTCCCTTCTATTTCTCCCAGCAAAGCTCTTCGCATCGCAATTCCTATTGTATCGGCTTGACCTTTTATAAGTGGAGATAGAATAAAGCGGCCATAAAAAAGGCGTTTACTGTCTATTCTTGATTCAACACATTTCCACTGTAGTGTCCGAGTAGATACTGCTACTTTCTCTCGAACCATAAAAATTTTGATTTAGTATATTAGTGAATCTTCTATTTCTCTTGATATAGGTTCACTTTTGATTTCTACACACGTCGTTTTTTGGGGGGTCTACAGCCATTGTGTGGCATAGGGGTTACATCCCTTATAAAAGTTAATAATATACCGCTTCTATGAATAGCTCGTAATACTGCATCTCTTCCGAGACCGGGACCTTTTATAAATACTTCGGCTCGTAGCATACCTCGATTCACTACTTTACGAAGAGCATTTATTACCGCGGTTTGAGCAGCGAAAGGTGTTCCTCTTCTGGTTCCTTTGAATCCAGAAGTACCGGCAGAGGACCAAGAAACTACCCGTCCCTGTACATCTGTAACAGTCACTATGGTATTATGGAAACTGGCTTGAACATGAATTACTCCTTTTGGTATTCTACGTGCATTCTGACGTGAACCAATACGTCCCCCCTTCCTACGCGAACTAATTCTCGATATATATTTTACCATTAAGCATTTTGTAAATCTGAGTCAGCGATATACTATATGGATATATCCATTTCACGATTCTTTCATTTCTATAATTGGTTTAGTTACTAAGTTAAGTTGCGAAGTCTTATTATCCCTGTCGTTGTTTATGTCTGGGATTGGAACAAATTACTATAAGTCGTCCCCTTCTCCGTATTAATCGACATCTGTCACAAATTTTACGAACAGAAGCTCTTATTTTCATATTCAGACTCCTTACATTTCTTTTAAATTTACTTTAGAGTTTCGGTTTGATTGGAAGATTATAATAAAAACATTCATTTTTTTTTTTATTTTCAATTTCTAATTTTGTTATTTTTGCCAAAGAGATAGCTAAGTTTAAAAATGACTCCTTTGAATCATTGTTGTGTTGCAAAAGCTTCATCGACTTGTTCTGAAGTTATCCGTCTAAACTAAAAATGAATTTAGCCTATTTTCACAAAAAGAACTTATAATCCAATCTTTATTACTTTATTAGTTGATTATCTAAATCAATAAAAAAGAAAACCAGAACATACTATTTGAAAAGGATTCCTTAATAAAAAAATTCTTGAAAAAAGGAAAGTGATTTTTGTTCTTTCATCCGAAGGACTTTATTCTTTATTTCAGTGACCTAGAAGCAATAAGGAATGGGGATTTCATTAGATTCTAAAATATCCCATTTGGGAATCATAGAAATGGAAAGTTTCTACCTAATTGGCATCTTGAAAATATTACCATATATAAAACAAAATCTCCCCCCCGATTCTTTGCAGTCGGGCTTCTCGGTCTGTCATTATACCACGTGAAGTAGAAAGAATTACAACCCCCATCCCGCCTAAAATTTTAGGTATTTTTTTAGACTTAGAATACATTCGTAGACCGGGTCGACTTATCCGTTTTAAATTTAGAATATTGCTAAAGGTCCTTTTTTTAGTGTTTATATGTTGCAGAGTTAAAACTAAAAAATTTTTGTTGTTTTCTCGATGATTTCTCACACTTTCAATAAAACCTTCTTTTAAAAGGAGTTTTACAATCTTTTCGTTAATATTACTGGATGGGATTCGAACTGTTCTTTTTCCATCCCTATGAGTATTCCGTATAGAAGTTATTATCTCAGCAATAGTGTCCCTACCCATGATGAACTCTAATTATGGAGCTAAAAATTTTTCTACTCTCAACGTGTTTTTTTTATTGTCTATGGATTATTGTGTTTATCTTACTTTATTTTAATCTTAAAGTTATATACGTGAGACAGATTCTACTCCATTTTTTAATTTTTTTTATAATACCTCAGGAGCTAATGAAACGATTTTAGTAAAATTTAATTGTCTTAACTCCCGGGGGATTGGACCAAAAATTCTGGTCCCTTTTGGATTTCCTTCTTTATCAATAACAACTGCGGCATTATCATCATATCGTATTATTATCCCGTTGCCACGTTTTAGTTCTTTAGAGGTACGCACGATTACGGCTCTAACTACTTCAGATCTTTGTAGAGGCATGTTAGGTACAGCTTCTTTGATAACAGCAACAATAATGTCACCAATATAAGCATATCGACGATTGCTAGCTCCTATTATTCGAATACACATCAATTTTCGAGCCCCGCTGTTATCCGCTACATTTAAAAGGGTTTGGGATTGAATCATAGCATTTTTTTTATTCTTTTCTTTCACAATGCAAAGGGCGAAGAAAAAAAGAAATATTTTTTGTCCACAAACATAAAACGAAACCTCTTTTTTTTTTGTTTTTGTTTCATTCTTAAGATTCTTTGGGTTGGTTCTAGAGTTATATCGTCTATTCTATCTCCGAAATAATGAATTGAGTTTGTATCGGCATTTTTGATGCTGCTATTGAAATAGCTTTTCTGGCAATATTTTTTGTTACTCCACCCATTTCAAAAAGTATCCGACCGGGTTTAACAACAGCAACCCAATATTCAGGGGATCCTTTTCCTGAACCCATACGTGTTTCTGCGGGTCGTACAGTAACTGGTTTATCGGGAAATATACGTACCCATATTTTTCCTCCACGACGTGCATTTCGTGTCATAGCCCGTCGCCCAGCTTCTATTTGTCTAGATGTGATCCAAGCGGGTTCAAGTGCTTGAAGCGCATATTTACCGAAACAAATATGATTCCCTCGAGAAGCTATTCCCTTCATTCTTCCTCTATGTTGTTTACGGAATCTGGTTCTTTTGGGGTTATAGTTGATGGATTTTTATTTATTCCATCTCTACTACAGAACCGGATGTGAGAGTTTCTTCTCATCCAGCTCCTCGCGAATTACGAATAAAGTATTTACAAAATGAGCGTTTGACTCAAATTGACTAATCATAGTGAAGATATCTAAATCTAAAGATAGATAATAAAAGTCTGGACTGAGAAGTCAAAATAATATTTAGGGATTGAGTGATCTTTTTTTAAATCTATTTGAATTGAAATGAATTATTCTACAGTTTTTTCATGATTCTCTGAGTCTAACTAATCCTTCATTTTTGACTATTCTTTATATTGCTTTAGATTGAATATTGATTCTTTTGAAAAAAGTTTTCGCGGGCGAATATTGACTCTGTCAATTTAGATTTCATTTCTAGGACGAGTTTGTGACATCTTATAGCTAGTATCTAGAAATAAAATAATTTAACATTGGTTTATTCCGCCATCCCAGCCAGTGAATGTTTAAGATTTTTTTTTATTTCATCTTGAATTGAATTGAATCTTTTGTATTCTCATAAGTTCCGTCGTCCCCATCACTTCTTACTTAATGGTTAGGTCCTAATTTTACAATGGAGCTCAAATAGTAATAATATATGAATAATTTAAGTCTTTAGCCATTTTTCTTAGTCTTTATTGGCTTTAAGCTCTTGACTTTATTTTTTTATTTTATCTCTTCTATATTTAATATCTAATTGAATATTTATATATAGATTATAGATTTCTATAATAAGAGTATATTGTTTTTTATTATTGAATATTCTTAGATTTCTTATTCTATTTTAAATACTTTAATATGCAGAATTTAAGTATTAATGCTTCATTACATTGCCTGTTTTGTTAGACCCTACATATTGGAATTTTCAATCATTGAGCTTCTTTTTCTCCCTTTCTCTCTCCCTTCCAATTATCCACATCTTTTTTATATTTTGCTTCGCAACTTCAATAATATTTGAATACTATTTTTCGTTTATGCAAATAAATGGCAGTTGCTACAACGATATGAGCGGTAATCATATCGTGACTGGTTATTTAGATCCAGATAATGCGAAATTGATGAGTTAATTATTAGGTAATTTCTTCTCGAGTTAGTAGTTGTTACTTTGGGTTTGGTTTCATGCTAACCTTAAAAAATAAACGAGTCGCACACTAAGCATAGCAATGATATTTTTATTAAAAATAAATAAAATTTTTATTCAACCTTATAGAATTCATTATTATCAATTAGAACTGTTCCTGCTCATTACACAAAATAATTTGTGAAATGGCCGCTCGGTATTACAGGTAAAAAGAATGAATAAAATTTTATTGAGCTTGATCAAAAAATATCCAAATTTTTATGCCTAAAACCCCGTAGATAGTTCGAACTGAATAACAACAATAATCAATTTTAGCTTGAATAGTTTGGCGGGGAATTCTTCCTTCTCTTATCCATTCCACACGTGCAATTTCCTTTCCGTCAAGGCGTCCCGCAATTTGTACTTGAATTCCTTTTGTATCTGCTTGTTCAGCTAATTCAATAGCTTTTTTCATTGCTTTTCGAAAGGAAACTCTATTCTTTAATTGTCCAGCTATAAATTCGGCAAGAATATTAGGATTTCCATACGGTTTTTCAATTTTTGTGATAGCAATATTAAGTTTTCGGTTTACGAAATTTAATTTTTTTTGTAGAGCTTTTTGTAATTCTTCAACTCCCTGCGGGCTATTTTCAATGAATACTTTGGGAAATCCAATATAGATTATGACTTGGATTAGATCGAGTCTTTTTTTAATACATATACCTGCAATTCCCTCGGTACCCGAGGGTTTGATTCTATTTTTTTGTACATAATTTTTTATAAAAGCTCTTATCTTTTGATCTTCTTGCAGATTTTCAGCATACGTTTTTGGTTGCGAAAACCAAAGTGAATAATGGGCCTGGTTTGTACCAAGTCTGAAACCAAGTGGATTTATTTTTTGTCCCATAAATACCTCCTTTTCTGGATATCAGAATATGCTTTAGTTCTAGAATTTTTTTTCGCTTGTGGTTTTTTTAGCAAACCGAGCTCCACGGATTCAGAATCATTGAATGAAATATCTTTTAGTACAATAGTGATATGGCAGGTCGGTCTTTTTATTGGATAACTACGCCCGCGAGCCCGAGGTTTTAATTTCTTTCCAGCAGTCCCCTCATTAACTTCAGCTTGACTAATAACTAAATTTGCTTTATTTGAAGCCATAGTGTAACTAGCATTTGATGCGGCTGAATAAACCAATTTTAAAATTTGATAACTGGCACGATAGGGCATGAGTTCTAATATAATAAGTGTTTCCTCATAGGAACGCCCACGAATTTGGTCATCAATAACTCTTCGTGCTTTATTAGCCGACATAGCTATACGTCGACCTAAAACGTATACTTCTGGGGGTTTTTTTATTTAGCATCTACATAAAATTTGCCTCCTACTAATGACTTATAAGCATCAAAATATTTTTTAGTATTCACATTACCGATGAGATTTCTTATCATTTTTTGCATGTCCTCGAAAATTTAAAGTAGTTGCAAATTCTCCCAATTTGTGTCCGACCATATCATCCATTATATAAATAGGGAGATGCTCTTTCCCATTATGAATGGCAATAGTATGACCAATCATTATTGGAATAATAGTAGATCCCCGGGACCAAGTTATTATTATTTCTTTTTCTCCCTTTGTGTTAAGTTTCTCAATTTTTTTTAATAATTTATGAGCTACAAAGGGATTTTTTTTTAGTGAACGTGCCACAGTTTACTCCTATAAATTTTATTATTCTTTTATTTTTTTATTTTTCATATAATTGAATGAATAAATTTAATTTGTTCTATTATATTAATTTTTATACTATATATATTACATTAAGTATATTCACTCTATTAACTATATTATACTATTATATTAACTGCGGTGACGAAGAATGAGCTTCTCACTATATTTATTCCTCTTTCTAGTTTTTCTTCCAAGTGCGGGATAACCCCAAGGGGTTGTAGGTTTTTTTCTCCCAATAGGAGCTCTACCCTCACCGCCCCCGTGTGGATGGTCTACGGGGTTCATAACTACTCCTCTGACTACAGGACGCTTACCTAGCCATCGTTTAGCTCCAGCTCTACCCAAATTTTTTTGGTTGAACCCAACATTCCCGACTTGTCCTATTGTTGCGGAGCAGTTTTGGGATATAAAACGGACCTCGCCAGAAGGTAATTTTAATGTAGCTGATTTACCCTCTTTTGCAATCAGTTTCGCCATTGCACCCGCTGCTCGAGCTAATTGTCCACCCCTTCCACGTGTAATTTCTAGGTTATGTATAGTCGTGCCTAAGGGGATTTCGGTCAAAGGTAGGGCATTTCCAATTTTGATTGAAACATTTGTACCAGAAACAATGGTATCTCCAATTTGAGCCCCTCTCGGATGTAAAATATACTTCTTCTCACCAGTCTTATAATGTATTAGACAAATGTTTGCATTTCTATTAGGGTCATATTCTATGGTTATGATTCTACCATATAGGTCTTTTTCATTCCGTCGAAAGTCTATTTTACGGTATAGGCGCTTATGACCCCCCCCCCCTATGCCTTGCTGTAATGATTCCTCTAGCATTACGACCTTTACCACAATGATGCTTTCCAGAGAGCAAATTTTTTCTTCGAGCAAATTTTGGGCTGTTTACGGTTTCGCTCGGGTTATAAGTTTTGTATAATTGTATTCCCATGATATAAATGATTTTTATTTTGGATTTAAAGTTTATTTGTTTGGAGGTGTAAGCCAATGTCTAATGATCTGCGGTAGCCATTGCATTATATGTCCTCTAATAGGGAGGGCCTACCATTATGTGACCCTTTGCCAGAAGCGTAGCACTACTCAAAGTTTATGACGTGGATTTCAAAAAAAGTCTATTTATTATTTTTTAATAACTAAATTCTTTTTTTTAATATTATATCTTTTATTCCATCCCGAATTTTAATTCATTCCGTATTATTTTAAGTTGAAATAAAAATGTTAATTTTGAGTGTTGATAGAATCTATCTATATCTCTAATATAGAGATAGATTCTCTATATGTATCGGTATCCTAGAATTATCTATTATGATATATGAAATGGAAATAGTCAACATGAAATCTATCTAGGAACATATATCTTCTATGATATTTGATATGGACAAATCTATCTAGGAGCATATATCTTATATGATATTTAATATGGATTATGAAGGAAATGCTCAAAGTAGATCTATGCTAATATATATCCTAAAATATAACAAAAATATCATAAAAAGAAGAATTGGAGGGTCAATGAGATTTTGTGTAAATAACTAATAGTGCTAATAGTGTGCATCCAGTAGGAATTGAACCTACGACTTCGCCAATTATGAGTTGGGCGCTTTAACCACTTAGCTATGGATGCTTAAACGAGACCATCATCTATAAAAATTGAAAATTAAAATATAATAATTATGGTAATTATGAATCTTGGAATTGCAAATAAAAAAAAATGATATTTTATTTTATATGATAGGATATGATAGGAATAGAGAATCTAATATTCAATATCGAATTACAGCAAAAAATATTACATAAAAAAATGTCGTTTAAATAAAGAATTTCGGAAATCTGAAATACTAAACAAAGACTCTATTTATCATTTCTATTTTTACATTAAATAGTCAATAGTCAATTATATAAAACAAGTACTTAAAATTTTTGCATAAAATCTTATGGAGGTATGAGATGGAACCTAAGCAAAACAAGTTCTGGATTCTAGAATTACGAGAGATACTGAGAGAGATTAAAAAATCAAAATATTTTTTAGATTCATGGACCCAATTGAATTCAATCGGATCTTCCATTCATATTTTAGTCTCCCAAGAACGGTTTTTAAAACTGTTTGACCCACAAATTTGGAGTCTTGTACTTTCACCTAATTTGCAGGGTTCAAAAAGCAATCGATCGGTCAAGATTAAGGGAGTTTTACTAGTTTTCGTTGGCGTTGTTATCTTTATTTATCGTATTAGCAATCAAAATATGGTTGAAAGAAAAAATCTCTATTTAAAAAGACTTTTTCCTATACCGATGAATTGCAGTGAATCCATAACTGATCAAGATAGTGGTTATTCTACTCTAAATCGATTGAGTATTTTACTCCTTTCTTTTCCAAAAGGCAAAAATCAAATTGATATTGATTTACTGAATACGAACTATAATACTCGGGTTTTGCCAATAAAAAAAAAACCTAACATGCCTCAATCAAAGTCAGATTCGACGCAGGGGAAAAACTTTATTAGAGAAATTATTAGACGAACTAGAACGGAATTTAGAGAAATTCCAATGAAACTTCTTGGTTTAAATCTGGTATTATTAAAAGATAAAAAATCGCTGGAGTTTCCTTATGATTCCACAAGATCTAGTTCCTTACAAGTAAAAGATTCCGGCCAACCGAAAGGATCCTTGGATAGAAATTTTTTGGATTCCATTAGAAATGAGGATTCCGAATATTCCAAATTAATGAATAAAAGAAAATTTAAACAACGAAAACAAAGATCAACTTCTTGGGATCCTTACTTTCTTAAAACCGAACAAAAAGAGATCAAAGGCCGTAAACCCACGCTAAGCCTTCCGTTTCCGAAAGAAAGGGAACAATCTCGGGGCAATGCCCCGAGGTCCCTTTATTCATTTTACTCTGATAGATGGTCAGAACTTTATATGGGATCAACTCCTATTGCTAAGTCCAATATGGATCCGAAATTTAGGAATAAATCTCTTTCTTTTGTCCGGCAAGCGGAAAAGAAAGAAATAGTTAATCTATTTAGAATACTTACGTATTTAAAAAGGACTGTTTTAATTAAGTCTATTTCTTTGGATCCCGAAATAGAAAATTCGAAGAATACTGGATTTCTTAAAAAAACTCCATTATTTTCTTTTGTTAACCGATTCCTTGAAAGTAAACAAGGAAGCTATGTGCTACAACATAATTGGAAATCAGAAAAAAAATTACAAAAAAGTCCAGGTTTATTTATTCTGACAATAAGCGAGCCGGATCCAGTCTATAATCAGGGATTTACTTTTTTTGTTAATATAGATTCATATGAATTGCATAAAATCAAATTATTGAATAAAATATTCAATACTAGGACTGAATCAAAAAATCAATCTTTGTTGGCTCTTTCGCCTATTTTTTTTCGTTATAAGGAGAATAACTCTTTTTTTCAGCGAACGGGCCAAAACTGCGTATGGATTGAAGCAGTGAATCTATATAGATATAGATTCATTCACAATATGATTCAAATGCAATCTAGTACCTATGTGTACATAAGAAATCTATTAAATAAATTTGTTTTCATAAATATATCCAATCACAATTTCAAATATCGAATTAGGAGAATTCAAGGGGATCAAAAAGAAACGGGTCTTCTCAATCATCTAACTCATATGACATATAAAATAAAACAGGGTCATCCATATAGATCCAAATGGTCAAATGGGGCAAAGAGTTTACAAGAAAATTCAAAACATTTTCTTTATGAGCAGAAAAGACTTTTTGAAATGTATGTTCAAGTCCGAAAGGGCCATTTGCAAATGATGTTTGAGAAAGTTTATAAATTATGTATTTATGTTATTGATAAAATAACTGAGAAAT